CAAAATCGCAAATATTTGCACTGAAAGAGAGTTAGTCACTTTTACGCATTCGTATGGAGAAATGTGTATAAAAATCAAGCCAAGAATTAAACCAAGTCTATTAATTGAACTGTCAAACCAGCTACCTATCATGCAAAGTAAGCCAACATTACGATGCTTTGAAAGCTCCACGAAAGGTATTGTAATAAAAAAAATATCTTAGAAATGATCGTAATCATTCAGTGAGCTTGGTATTGATCAAAAATGAGATTTTGTAATATTTTTGTTAAGATAATTCGACAAAATCTCTGATTTAATGATATAGGGTGGGCGAGCCAGTAGTGGAGGTACTAAGCCAATTTATTAATTAAAAAATAAATATGCGATGTACACACAATTGTTATACGTCAATCTATAGCTTTCAACCTCTATTTTGATAGAAAAATATTACACTGTAATAAAATTGCATACAATTTTAGAAAATTCATCCTCCATTAAAAGGAACGCTGTTCCAGTAGTTGTGGTAGTTGCTAACTTTGGTTCCTGTAATAGTGGAATGCGTTGGTTTCTAATGGGTTCCACTATTATGGGAACACTACCGCAACTATAGGTGCAAAGTAGTGAAAATCTGAAGAAAAATTAATGATTTTCCGTAATTTTTGGGCTAATTTAAAGATTGAAATATGCAAATATTCAAGCATAACTATTCAATAGGACGTTAGTCGCAAAAATAAACAAATCGATATGTTGCTTCTAACCGAATATAAAATACATGCTTTTCCTACGAATTAATGAAAAACAAGGTTGGGAATTTTGATGAATTATGGAAAATATATTTAATGAACGCCCTATGTGATCTTCTTTTATTGTTTTTAAAATGGCGTTGATACACCCTTTTATTGACAACATGACTTAACTGTTAAAATTTGATGATAACACAGAAACTGCAGATACGGTCACAGTGAAGCGTCGTATGTGAAAAAAAACAAAGCAACCATTACCAATCAGCAGATGTGCCAAGTTGTTTCTAAGTAGATAAAAAATGGGTTGCAACGGGATTCAGCTACTGCTAGGTATGTTTTATTAAGTATTATTGACTAAAACATAAATATTATAAATATTTTTTTAAGATGTAGCCACCCAGAGATGATGCTGAGAAGGAAGAATTAAAACGACAACACGAACTACATCAGATGTCAACCAAGATAGTGTACGACGAGAAGAAGAAATACCAAGCGCTTACCAAAGAAGATCCCACTGTTTGGACCACAAGTTTCTAGAAACGTATCTTCACTGAAAAATATAAACCGGTGTATCTAATTTGACGTATGTGAAAACCGTTCTGTTAAATAAAAAAATCATGCAGGGTGTATGTAACAATTAAGGTGTGATACTGACGAATAGTACACAAGTAAAAGGTGTATCATTTTGTTTTATAAAAAGTCTTGTCCGTGTTTGGGAAAACTCAACATTTTTCACAATTTGCTTCAACGCAATCCCTTTATTCAACTAATAGCAGAAACAGATTTTAAAAAAATAGCATTAAGTCATTTGAAGTTGATGCTAAATTCGTCTGTTGCCATGTGAAAGGGAAGGGAATCTTTCGAAAACCGTGATACAAATTCTAATGTTTTTCTCTAGACGTGTCTCTTATACACTGGCTGTAGGTTACTCAGTGACCTACGCTTTTAGAAATTTCTCTAACGAATGAGTAAAAATAACTCACAACTGAATAAAAGTTACTCACTCTCTGACTTAGTTTCATTTTCAGTGTATGTTCTCATACACACTTAGAAAATAATACCGAACTCGGTTTACCAACGAGAAACCAAATAATTCAGTTAACAATATTTTTTCAGGCGTAAAAACCCGAATCTCAATTACAATACGATAAATTTGACAGATATGAATGATGGCTACTCCGGAAATGTACAGTAGCGTGGTGATATTTACCAGTTCGCTTTTCTTTCGCTTTTGTTGAAAAAACCAGAAAAATTGCATTCATCAATAATTGAGTAATATGTTCTAACAGTTGAGTAGTTCAGTTTCAACGTGCAAGCAGAGATGACGCACCCTAAAAAAATGCGTGCAAGCTACTGTTCCACTCGCGCGTGGCTAGTCGCTAGTGGCATCTGGTGAGTGATAGAAATACTTATCATCACGTTGCACGGCCGATGATAGCATCTCGAAATTGAACGGGTTTTCACTCAAAATCGCGAAACTGTTAGTCACTCTTCGACTGAGGAAAATTTTCCTCGCGCTTCCTCAAAAATCTGCTCGAATATGAAGAAAACCGAAGAAAATTTAACTCACTATAGGAGTATAACGAGTGTTCAATTAAAAAAAATGAGAATTTTTTAAGTCATATAGCAAAGAAAAATTTTTTTTCAAGGAGTTCAGTATTTTTATTTAAACATAATGTTTATTCTTCAAAAAAAAAGTCAATGAATATTAGAGAAGGGGCCCCTGGTCAGCCGTACGACGCAACTTAGTCGCGATGCTCTCACAAGAGCGCTGGACGGCACTGAAATCATTTTCATTTTTTATTGAACACCCGTTACTAATAGACGTAAAGTTTTTTTTTCTTGGATAATCGAAGTTAATTTACTCAGTCTATGAGTAACACTATGTCTATGCCTATGAGCCTACGTTTTTTGCAAAATTAAGTGAACGAAACTCAAAATTGAGTTGTTTCAATTGGCCGTGCAATATAATTGTGTGCAAGTCGCACCATTAGGCGAGGAAAATTGAATGAAATTTTATCTTTAGCATATGAGAAATATGAATGAGTCAGCATATGTGTGAGCAGGGTAGCTGATATTAATTGGCTATAAAAAAATGGTTATGGTAATTATGAAACTATTAAATGGTATAATGGTGTTTTGAACTTTTGAACAGGGCTGCTTCCACTCACTTGCTATACAAAATTACGATGCTGTAAACAAATGTTTAGGTTTTAGAATCCTAAGAGTGTTACTGCATGGTTAGAGAAGATGCATACATGATATAGCATTTTAGGGTAATCAGTAGACTGGGTCAAGTTTGTATGGTGGATCACAACCCCCTGTTCCCCACTGCTCTTCCGATTGGTATTGAGATCCCCAAAAACACTACACTGGGCAAAATTTTACAAAACCGCGACTAAATTGAATATCTCGGTTGCCAAACGGTTTCAGTTATACATATTCTCAAAGGAAAAATTCTGTTGAATCGATTGGTAGTGGTCTTATTGGCCGGAGACTTTTGCGTACCGAGATCAACCCGAGTTCCTGGTAATGTAGGAAATGCCACTATCTATCGATATAATTTTACACTTTACTTAACGTCAGTGATGGAAAAGTTCGCAAAAAATGACTATGACTCGCGAACTTTTCCCTTGGAGAACTTCGAGAAATATCGCGAACTTTTCCAACACTACTCAACGTATATTACTGGAAATTGATAGTACTAAGTATATATGGTGTAAACTTTACTGGCCTAAAGGAGGATCCGGAACGTCCGATAAAGTGGCCACATTATAAAAAATGTCCTAGAACCTTGTGATTGTTTCTATGTTGTTCAGAATCAAGAGACCAAAGCGTATATAATATGGAAACTAGATTTTGGGGTATAGTGGCCATATCCTGGTTCACCGGATAATCTGGATTGACCGATAAAGTGGCCACATTATAAAAATTGTCCTCGAACCTACCGATTTTTTTTTGTGTTTGTTCAGAATCATGAGATCAAAACGAATTTATTAAAGTATTAAAATGTTGGTATAAAGTGGCCATATCCTGGTTCTCCGGATAATCTGGATTGACCGACAAAGTAGCCACATTATAAAAATTGTTCTAGAACTGTTGTTTGTTCAGAATCATGACCACTTTATCGGTCATTATCCGGGATACCAGGATATGACCACTATATTCCAAAATATGTATTCCTAGTTAAATACGCTTTCATCATTTGATTCTGAACTCCCCCCCGTTCTTGTTCGCGTTTCTGGCTACAACGCATCATAGCCAGCAACCCCACCGAGCACCGCGTGGAGGTAAGAATCGGAGTTCAGATGCACAGATATCGCAAGTCGCCGATCGTCTGGCAGAGCCCGACAACCGTTCACGAGCGTTCTTATGCACTGCTTTACCCGGCGGGATTGGCGGGAGAATTTTAAATTTTGTATGGGAATCGAAAAGAACCAATTCATTAGTTTGCAAAAAATACAAATAAAGCTCAAAATTTCACTTCTCTGAAATAGATTGGAAATACTATGCAGGACAACTTTGCCAAAGACTTACTACATATACAGGCGTAAATATGAGCTGTGAACACTGTCTACACTGAGCTGTGAAGGTCTAAAGTGAAAGATTTACAACCTTTTGTTTAAAGATAAAACCGATTGACAGTCTCCGAAATAGTTGTTCTGCAGAGTATTCTCAATTTAAGTCCGAGATTTTGGTGAAATCTGTGCAATATTTGTATTTTTGGTTTGCAAATGAATATGATCGTTCCGTTTTCCATACATTTTCCCATACACAATTTCTTAACAAATCATGTATGCTTGTATATGTATATGCATGTCTAATGTATGCTTAGGGTAAAGGCGGTAAATATCGCTTATACGAATATATTCATTCCGCTTAAACTTTCTTGCATACAGGTTTTTGTAAGAACTGCCATTACATTTGTTGTAAGCAAAAATTCAGAGGATGTCAGAAATCTGCACTTTAATTTGATGGTCATGCCATTTGTTTTGCATGTGCACTCAAAAAACACATGTTTTATGGTTTAAGTGACAGCTCTGTAAGATAAACAATAGAAACGCAAATTGTTTATGAGACGTTGTTCTTTATTTTGGGCCATACGTTATCCATTATGATGACATAGGTCCATATTTGGTTCATTAATTTATGGATCAGTTAAAAGGGCTTCAGACATACTTGACAGTAAGAAATTATGTGCGATTGGAATGAGTTCGATAACTAATTTTGGTCATCTTTTTTGTTTATCAAAAAACAACTTTTGTAAATATTTTCAGATTCTATTATTACTAAAAGCATAATTTTTACTAATTTAATGTACAAATAAATCTTTGGAATGTTCCCAAAACATACGAGCTATTCTGAAGGATACGAAGTCTTCTGTTACTTCGGTCGATCTGTTGTGATTTCTTCTTCCTTTTCGGCCATAGCAATTTCCTTATCCTTAACTTCTTCGTCAAAAATCTTCAAATCTTTCACGTAATACCAAACACCGCAATCGACTAGCGTCCCCACCAGCACGAATGCTGCCGCTATGAAGTTCAAAAGGTACCTGAAAACAGAAAAAAGTGCGATGAATATTACATCGTAATCTTCATGTTTCGAGATGTTTCCATACCTCAAAGATTCTCCGTCATACAACCAGCAGTTCCCTTTGCCGGAACAAGTCTTCCCCCATACCAAGCAGGTCTTATCCAGAACCAAACCAAAAAAGATCGGGCTCGGAATGAAGGACAAAAGACTGAGCAGCATCATACCGAAGCCCATCGATACGGTTTTATCCTTTTCGTCGACGCATCGCACCGATACCAGAAAGTTACTAGCTCGACCCGTCGCCCCGGAGAACTTGAGGAAGCACATCACCACCAAGAACGTGATGAACTCCTTCTGGCAATCCATTGGACAAGGTCCTGCAAGAGCTTTGCCACCTTGGGGTGCCTGGAATGGGTTCCGTGATTAGTTTACTGTCCTTGAAGAAAATAGAAAGCGGATTCATACCAGCGCATCATACGTGAGCGAATACGGTGTCTTCAAGGTGCTGTTGGAGGACAGTAGCCTTTCAAAACTCGGATTATTGGTAGAGTAATTCCTGGCTGATATACAAGAGCAATCATCGTAAATCTAAAAGTGGAAAGGTAAGGGTAAGTGTAGTAAATAAGGTTGTCCTCTAGGATTAAAGCACGGGGATTGATAAGATAAGAAAACTCTCCGGTCACTTGACCAAATAGAAACGATAAAGATTATTCAGGAGGCCGGTCATTTACCTTCACGTCTCCCGATTGATACTGTTGCTTGCAACCAGCGTGACATGCAGAAATGTAGGTGTTACCGTCCTCTCCGCAGACAGGTGAATATTTGACGTAGTCGCATTGGCAGTTGGAATTGCACGTTGGAATAAGGTCAGTACTGTAAAAGCAAAATGGTTTATAATGAAAGCTACGGTGAGGTTTATTGCTGGCTTAAAACTCACGCTGACGAATGATTAACAATGACAGAGTTCTCTGCGGCCGTACATCCGAGGAAGGCATATGTTACCATTCCAGCGACCGAAAGCAGTCCTACCATTACGTTCCATGCAGCCATGTACCGGGCCCTTGGTTTGTATCTCGAAATGACAATACCGGAGAGCAAAACTCCAATAGCCGAAAACAACAATGCTACCGTACCGGTCACCAAGCTGGAAGTCGAAGCCGACTGTTTGTATTGGGTTTCGATGTACTTTGGAGTAAAGATCCAGTATGGCATGAACCCGAAGAAGTAGAACACTGAAGCAATGTTATTCAGCATCAGGATCCTGTTCTTCACCAATCGCTTGAAGGTCTTCAGCATATCTTTGAACGATGCAGGTAACTCGTCTTCCTTCTTAGCTTCGCTGAGTTTCATTCCTAGCTTCTGTTTCTCAGCAGCGATTCGTTTCCTTACAGCCGCCCTCGGTAGTTGCTTCGGGAACATGGCCATGAACAGCGCAAAGAAGGACAGAGCTAACCCCAGCGCAAGCCATCCAATCCACCAAGCTCCCAGCCATCGAGGATCGTTATTGGTGATAGTAGGAGTCATTGATGGACTAATGTACAGCTTCAAGCAGTAGGAAGCCAGGGTGTAGCCAATCGCTGGTCCAAGCATTCTCAGGAAATACGATACACCTTAAAATGCAGGAAAAGAAATCAATTGTAGTAAAGAGCGTCATTCAGTTGCAACAGATACTCACTAACCAGAGCTGGAGTTTTCGACTTTTTAATGTTGTCATCCATGTACGAAACACCCAGCGTGTAATACAGTGAACTTCCGACACCGGATATGAATTGAGCTACAAACAGCACCACCTGGGGCGCAATGTTACCTTCCTCGATTTCGCACTCTGCCCCACGTGTCCCATTGCTCCGACACAGTGTCTTCGCTTTCTGTGCTTCGAAAACTTCTTTGGTCTGATCTTCATCGTAGGTAGCACCAAACTCCGTAGTTAACGAAAGGGCGGCTTCCCCCGGCCCGTACAGCAGATGAGGCAGTGCATTCAACCAGCAAAAGAGGACAATGGTAAACAGCCCGAAAGCTATCCACCGAGGACGGTGCCCCTTGCCGGCGTAGTAGCTGAGAATGGCCGATAGGAACAGCGAACTGATGTCGTTGCCCACTGAGATGATGCCGGTGTTTTTGCTAGGTATTTTGTATCGCTTCTCCAAGGTGGTGATGGTACCGTTGAAGTACGCGTAAGTAGCGGAAAATATGCACCCGACGACGCCGTACAGGAAGACGTAGGCTTTTTTGTTCGCGAATCTGGGCATAAAGAAGAAGAAATTTTGAATTAGTTCAGTAGTTCTTATTTTTCCATTGGCAAGGGTCCATAAAGAAACGAATAAAAATGATAGTTTTTTTTTATTAAGGTCAATTCTGATAAGATTTGTACGATTCTTTATTATAAGAAGAATAAATTCTTAGGGTAAGGAGGGGAAAAACTTCGATTAGACGTTTTCTACAGACTTTTTGATGATGTAAGAAGTCTCCCCTTTGTCCCCTCCCCATGGACATGGAGGTTGACGGTACTGAAGCAAAGGGTTATGTTTAATTTCTTTATATTTGCAACGATGATGATTTCCTATAGTGACACATATCACCTTCTTAATGCTTCAGTATGCCTCAAACGATTAATTCTTGGTTGTTAATAGAACTTCCTTGATGAAATCGGCTGCTTCATGCAGACTGAGCAATTCTGATTATAATATCAGATTTGTTCTGTATACAGAGGAACTGGGAGGGCCTATTAGAAACTTCTCACCAATAAAATAATGATCTTCTAGTAAATTTTGCACATAATTTTAATAATATTTTATTTTTTAAGCATATTATTTTTGTTACAGTCAATTAGCATTAGCATACGATACAAGACATTTAATATTACTTGCTCGTTTTTGCGTTAAATAATCAATATTTATTTTACTTGTAATTACCTTTGAAAGTTTTTTTCAAGTTTCTTTTTTTTGTGATCTGTAAATTTTCCCAGTTTGGTTAGAAGTTTCGAAGCTAACGCATGTCCACAGGCCCAATAGAAAGATAGGCAGAAAAAGTGTATCATGAAGAATCGTTGCATGCAGGGTTGCTTTCACTCACTTGCTATAGATGAGTGATTTTCGGAGTTTTGAATTCGTTAGATGTTGTAATGGAGATTTGTGTTGTTGGATGCGGGAGGAGATTTGGTGGCGGGTGTTTGACGCATAGAGCCTGTCAATTTCGATTTCAGAGTGCCGCAGTCGGCGGTTTTATAATTCGTGAGCGCTCGCGATTCGTAGAATCGTTGATTGTGACTGCGACTGGATTTGGCGGGTTTTGTGTGTCCGACGCTTGCTTTTTGGCCTCTTCTTGTGTCTAACATGTGCAGAGTATCATTATAGCGTCTAATGGTTTTAAAATTTCTGGTTGCGTGAAATATATTTGTAAGAATATCTTTTTGAGATTTTAGAAGTCACGTTTTGTTTGTAGTTTATATTTTATTTCTTTCATGTAATTATCGTAAATAATAGTTATTCAATAATAGATAGTTCATCCATATATTCGTACTTTGACGCGAAGCGCTGTGGATTATAAGATGCTCGATGACCCTCGAGGGATCGATTTTGCTTACTGAGCAGAAAATCGTGGATTTAACCCCAAGCTCTTCCACAGCACAATAAATCGCCACCATCATTTGTATATTTGATATTGAACATTAACCTCGGAAACTATTTGCATATCAAGTGAAAACGTAGTCCTGTATTGTCGCGAAGCGTTATGGTTCTGAGATGCTCGATGACCCTGGAGGGATCGTTTTTGCTTACTGAGCAGAAAATCATGGGTTTAATTCCAAGCTCTCCGTCATGACTCTTAAAATTCATTATCACTAAACAAAATTAATATGTTCTATCGATAGCCGGCTATCGAGAGATTAAATAAACAACAAATAAACAATACATACTTTTGGTTGCATCGCCAACTTGAGGTGAATCCTAACCGAATACCCTACCCAACCCTCCAACTCCGTAGCACTTATGAGGGTGTCGCTAAGTCGGTGGCCTCTCGTTAAGTAAGTACTACATCAACATTTCCTTCCCTATCCCTAGTTATGGTAAAGATGGGCGTGGCCGGGAATAGCGACAGTCATGCTTCTGTTACTCTTGTTTAGATTGGAACCAATGTTTACTCCTCAGCATTATTCCTGAAAGTAGTCTAACTGAGAATTTTAGAAGAGACGTGAGTGTCGCTAGTATCCAATCTACGAAGTATATCATAACAACGCTAACGCTAACGCTAACGCTAACGAAAGAAGTCTCCCCTTTGTCAACCTATCAACATGGTTATGGAAAATTCCATAGTTACAGAATCCAAATTTCCCGAATGCCACCTAACGAAAGCAATCGAAGTGAATGGTTCATAAGATTGAAATGTAGAAAGTGAGAGACTGAATTTTGAAATTGGAAGACAAAATAGTTAAATCTTAAAGTTTTTAACAATTTCACAAACATTTTCAAGATACTGAGGTTTGGACATTAAACTTTCTGAGAAAAAAAATTTGTGATTAGAATTCCGCGTAAATTTTTAGAAGACTTGAATCATTATTTAAAATTATGTATTTATTCGTCAAGAGCATAATATAGAATGAAACATTTTTAGTTTGTTCATTCAGTGTTGGTTCCTCGGATAGGCTTCCATAGCGAGCACAACAACTTCCCTTGGTGCTACCTGCTACGTTGTATCCAACAGAATTCTTGAGCAAATAAATAGCCAATTATGAGAACGAATTAAATTAATGCTATGCAGAAATATAAAAAATTGAACTCTGAAGATAGCTCTTAAGAAATTATGGAAAGTAATAAATTTATAGGAGTACTTCAAGGAATTTCAGGTGACAATTATATTAAGTAAAGGGTGTCCCACATCAAATTGCATCACGAAAAAACGCTGTAGAAAATTACATAGTTGACCGATCCTTTTCAAACTTGCAGACAATAAAATTCAACCCATTAGTAAGCTTTTGGCATATTTATTTCATTCAACTTCAATATCATAACCGTACGCTCGCACCTTACGCATAACTCCACTCATAAGGTTCTGTACAACATCTGGCTGCAGCTTCTTCTGTACGGAAACCCACTTTTTCTTCATGTCTTCCTCAGATTTGACCTCCTTGGGATGCTTCCGTAGTGCCTACTTCATAATAGCACAGTATTTTTGGATGGGCCTTAGTTCCAGTGCGTTGGGGGGAGGGGAGGGGGTCCATGTAATTGGGTACGAAAGTGACCCCGTTGGCTTCGTACCACTCCAGGACAACATTTGAATAGTAGCACGAAGCTAAATCCGGCCAGAAAATCGTAGGGCCCTTGTGTTGCTTCAACAGAAGAAGCAGACGCTTCTGTAGACACTCCTTGAGGTAGATCTCCCCGTTTACAGTCCCGGTAGTCACGAACGGCGCACTCCGTTTGCCATATGAGCAGATCGCTTGCCAAATCATGTAGGGGAATTTACGTATTCTCGGCAACCTAAGCAGCGACCTTATTTCCATAGCCTTTTTCTCTATGGAACGCACACATATGCAGTATTGGTTTGTTTACCATCTTTTGCTGCCAGCTGCTCTAACAATTTCAGTCGAAAGAATTGTCAAAAACTGTTTTGAAACGCTTTTACAAAGCTCCAATCTTCTCTAGTGAGAGCGAGTATTGTCGGCAACCAGTTTTTCTTCGGCAACCGTTCCATTTGAACTGCATGTAAATCTGCTGTTCTATTATCGGCAACTCGAAATCAGCTACAATTTGTAGTGCGTGTGTTTCATTTCAAGATAACCCTGCTAGATTGCTTTTTCTCAGTGGTAAAAATATAGTCAAATTGAAGCTGAAAGCATAAAGAATCGTTTGCATGCATTCAGCGAAGTGTTTTCGTAAGAAAATCCAGTGAAAATAGTGTTTCAATTTGGGTTGCCGAAAATAGTCTGTCATGCCGAAGCCGTCATTTCCCCTATTTCTGGGCAAACTTTGAAAGTTTCTGCTTCCTTACTTCCTCCGAAACATCGAACTTGTGCTGGGCGGTGAAGAACAATAGCCCTGGAAGCTGCCGGAAGTCCGCCTTGACGTAAGCCTCATCATCCATGATGAGACATTGAGGCTTCGTCAGCATCTGGGTGAACAGTTTCCGAGCACGTGACTTTCCAACCGTATTTTGCCGTTCGTCTCGATTTGGATCCTTCTGCACTTTGTAAGAATGCAGTCCTTCCCGGTCCTTGGCTCTCTGAATGAAAGACTTGGACAGATTCAACTTTTTGGCCACATCCCTGACCGAAGCAGTGGGATTCCGCTTAAACGCTTGACACGATGGGAGAGTTGAGGATTTTCCAGGTGCTTGTGCAAAATCAATTCACGACGTTGCTTTTCGGGTGACGCCATTTTTGCCAACTTTCGAAAAACTGACAGCGATAAAAATACAGTGTAAACAATACACTCTAAACTAATTCTACTCCAATTTGCAAGAAAATACCCGATGGTTAATTTTTTAAAGCGTTTTTTTTTGGTGATGCAATTTGACGTGGGACACCTTTTATTCTAGGCGAATTCTAAAGATAGTTCAACAGAAATTCCGAAGCAATTCAGGAGAGTTTCAGGGAATTCCGAGAAGAGCCTTGGTAAATCATTTCAAGAAAAACCTGAAGATAGTTTGATGGATTTTATTATCATATAATCGAAGATAATGTAGGGCGGAACTTTCAGAGTAATTTCAGGAGACTCCCAAGAAAATTCTGACCCTGAGTAAGATTTCAGGACTGTATACTTCAAATACGGGAGTGCTATTTCAACTCTAAGGGACTTTTCAATTTCAGCAGAATAAAGGGGCATTCGTTTTACACATTAAGATACCCCACAGAAAGGTTCTGATCGTATAAATTCGATACTTGAACCTTGTCTTACGAGTAAATCAGCTTTTTCATATCCTTCGATTCCGCAATGGCCAGGTACCCAGTATAGATAAACCTGGTTTTTGACTGACAGTTGCTTCAAAAATATTATGCATTCCCACACCAGTTTTGATTGGCATGTGCAAAATTCTAGTGCATTCAGTGCTGAATATCCAAATTCGCATGTGTCGATAATTCCTTTTTAGACAAATATATACACACTCTAAGATAGCGTATATTTCTGCAATAAAAACAGTTGTCCATCTTCCAATCGGAATTGAAACGTTAAACACAAGGCTTATCATTCCAGCCTAGTGCTATCATTCATTTTTGAACCAACTGCGTAGAAAATAATTGATCCTGT